ATATATATATATATATATATATATATATATATGAAGCAGTCACCACTATCATCAAACTTAATGATCAGGTACTAAATGCTCCCTCCCTGAAATCCTAGATAGGGATATTCCCTCCCATCACTTCTCTTCAATATCATACTTCTGGTCCTAACTAGTTCAGTGACTTAAGAAAAAGGATGAAAAGAAATACAAATTGCATAAGGTCACAAGACACAAGGTCACTATAAAAAGCAAATTGATTTCCTAGATACCAAAAATGAACAATTGGAACCCCAAGGTAAGAAAACAATACCATTTATGATAGCTTCCCTTCCTTTACCTCCCCAAAAAATAAGTACTTGGGTATGAATCTAACAAAAAAATGCCAGGGTAAGTATATAGAAAACTATAAAGCACTGATGAGAGAAATTTAAAAAGTCCTAAATAATTAGAGAGACATTCTGTGTCCACAGATTGGAAGACTCGGTGTGGTGGAGGTGTCAATTCTTCCCATTTTCATTGGTAGACTTGGTGAAACCCCGACAAAACATCAGCAAGGTTTCCTTGTAGACAGTGACAAGCGAATTCTAAAAGCAAGAGAATTAGAGTAGCGAAAATGATTTAGAGAAAGAACAAATTTGGAGGATTCACCTACCTGATTTCAAGAGGTACTGTAATGTAACAGTTGTGAAGACAGAGTGGTTATCGGGGGATAGATGGACATATGGACCAATGGAGCAGAACAGACTTCAGAAATAGACCCAGGCGAATGCAGTCCGTGAACCTTCAACAGATTTGAAGAAGAAAAGATAATCTTTTCAACAAATGGTATTGTAAAATTGGGCATCTACATGAAAAAAATAAACCTCCGCTTCTACTTTACACCATACAGAAAAGTAACTCAAAATGGATCATAGACCCGAATCTAACAAGTAACACTATCAAGCTTTGTGTTGGGCAAAATTTGTTTTAGATAGTACAATGAAAGCACAATTCATAAAATAAAAAATTGATTAACTGATAAATGGGCATCATCAAAATTTAAAAACGTTTATTCTGTGGTAGAGAATGAGGGTTTATAGCAGCTTTATTCATAATCACCAAAAACTGGGGTGTGGGAGGACTCAAAATTCTCATTGCTGAAGACTGAACAAACTGGTCAATCCAGGCTGTGGGACGATGCTCAGCAGTGGAAAGAGCAAACTATTGACACGTGAGCAACACAGACGGATGGCAAACATATCACGCTCAGTGAAAGAAGTCAGACCCAGTGCACTCCAGACTGTGCAGTTCCACGCATTTGATAGTCCAGCAAAGTCCACACTGCAGGGCAGGGACAGATTGATATGACGCCAAGGGCTTTGGGAAGGAATCCACGGTGAGATGGGCCACTCATCTCCTGCTTGCAGTAGCAGCTACATGGGTTTCCATATCTATCAAGGCACACAGAACTCCACACCAAAAATGCTGAACTTGTTTATATAAACTAGAGAATAGCTCTTGTCAGCCCGGCCCTTTCCAATGTTGCTTCCACCATTTGTAGACGGCGCCCTCTGGGTAAAGCAATATATTCCAAGAGCAGACGCTGTGGGGGAATTCGGCACCAGCGATTACCTAACTCCTTTCATCTCCCTTCCTGAACACACATAAAACGTTCTGAGAACCTGGTAATAAAGCTGCAAGCATTCTGGACCTCTGCCTAAACACCTACATCCATTGGAAGTGTCCGTTTGCTTATGTGTTCCATCAGTGCTCACCGAGGGGCTGTTTGACGACACAGACTGTGGACTCTGTGCAGTGATACAATGGACTTGATCTCCACTCTCCAAACGCCCTCTCCAGTCTCCTCATTGGCAAAGCCCTTGTCCTGCCTGGAACCTATTTTTCCCACAAGATTTTACTGGGACACAGCCAGGCCTATCCCCCTAGACTTGAGTTGTCACAGAGCCTTTATGGCCCAAAATCTAACACATTTACTATCTGGCACTTTACAAAAAATCATTGCCAATCCCTACTGTGAGTGTCAAACTTCATTTTTCCCAAATATCTTTGCAGAGACTATTAAAGTCATGCTCTGCCCTAAAAGCTTCTAATGGGGTAAGTGTGGAACAGGCCAAAAGTCTGCAAATTCCTTGGTGATCCCAAAGTCAACCGTGCTGGCTCACACTTGGGAAGAACCATCCCAGAAAGGCAGGCGGTAGGGCAAAGACTCACAAGTGAGTGGATTTTGTTTGCAGCACTGAACTACAATTCATGCATTCAACTGTAGTTTGACAGCCTGGTCCCTTTAGAGGTTGCTTCAAGTATTTGAAGGCAGCACCCTCTGGGTAAAACAATATTTGGAGAACAGATACTTCAGGAGAATTATGGACAAGGGGTTATTTTACTCACCTTATCTCCCATTGCAGAGGTTGGTAATAAAACCACACATTATTCTAGTTTCCACCCCAGTCCAGCCCAGCCAGGGTTCATTGGCGAGACAGTCGGCGCCCCTCTGTGAGGAGCTGGTGGTTGCCTTCATTTGTGATCCTGAAGGGTGGGTGGAGGGGAGAGCACGTCCAAGAGAAGATCTTGAGGTACTTGGGGGACATCCATCAGCACCACCCACTGCAGAATGGCTTCTATCTTCTAGATCTCTCCCTGGAAGCCCGCTCTTCCTCCAAACTTCCCCTGCTTCACTCCTTTGGAGAATAAAGGCCAAGTCCTAGCTGGCCCTGGTGTCCCCAGGAGCTGCCATTGAAGATCACAGCAGAAGAAACACCATCTTAATCCAGCGAGGGAAGCCGATGTGAAAGAATCACTACCCACAAACCCCAAATTTGGCTGAGTTTCCTAAAAGCCAGAGAGTTAAATTAATAATCAAATCTCAAGTATGAATATTAGAAAATACCCTGAGTGTGAAGGAAGAGTGAGGCTAAGAATGGGGGAAGGGGCTGGAGGAGAGGCAGGGAGTGCTTTTCTGTTGTCCACAGCAGACAGGCAGCGGACACACCCGCCTCAGCCACCCCAGGGGAATCCGCCATTGTTGACGGCCCTCTGTCTCTGACGGCAAATTTGAGTATCCACCAGAACATGCTGTCACCAGAGTAATCCACGGAATTCCATCAGCTTTAGGGTTCCAATAATAACGTCTTTAGAACATTGCAAGATGAGGGTATAATTGCTTTAATTAGTAATTAAATGACATCATGGCTGAGAAGATTTTATTTTGAGAATGACACTTCCCATGATGCAAAGTCAAATTATTTTGGGCTCTTACAAGTTATTTGGGCTTCACATCTCCTTGGCAGCCCACAATCCTGAACCCTAATAGAACATGTGAACTGTATCTAACACATAAGCACAAACCTTCCTGTTTAAAAATATTGCTTCACTTCCAAATAGACTTAGCTTGAACTCCACATCTGAAGCCAAGATGGCCCTACTCTATAATTAGGAAGGGGTTGCCATCTGCCTTCTTTCAATTAGTTTCTCCCTAGTTATTTTTTGACAGAAGAGGTATGTCCAACAGGTGTCCCATCTGACCTCCTGCATCAGGGCTCGTCGATGGAGCATTCCACCATGATGGATGGGCAGGGAGATGAAGAGGATTCACAAAGCCAGAAGATAAATTTCTAGCTGGAATGAAAAGAATCCCCACTGCCCTGTGGACAGTAAGGGCATAACGAGGCCAGTGCTGATTTATCCTGCCGCAAACATGACTCCACACAGCATCACAAAGACACAGAAAGAGTGGGAACTCCAGACTTCTCTCTCCAGGAAAGGTCATGATAACATTCACGTGGAAATTAAAAAATAAAAGAGGTAACCATGGGTCATCTGCCTCTTGGGAAGTCGTGCATGACTTGCCTCTTTAAATGTCTTTAGAAATGTTTGTTTCATGTGGGTCTGTTATTAAACACTAAATAAAAAGAAAATGCCATTTTAGGAAGTGTCTGTAGGTCAACACATAAAATAGTGACAGAATACATGAACTGTGTATTTCTGAAGAGTATAACTATATACCAGACGTGTTGATAGTCACTGTGAAAATTTACACAGAATGAATTTTGAGTTTTTACCCCAGAGCGATGTGAATATTGTATCGCTAGCAGGGTTGGTGCACCAAAAGCCTTCGTGTGAGGAAGGAGATGCCGCTCCACATCCTCCTTAGTCAGACTCCAGGTTCACTCCTGCTCACACGAGGAAGGAGGGTGAGAGTCCAGAATAGCTCCGGTCATCTTCAGTATCCAGTGGTGACGACTGGGTTCACAGACACTGAGTCTTTCAAGGAGGGGAAATAAGAAGTCCTAGCTCTGGCGCTTGTGACAGGAGGTGTGGTCGACTCAGAGGTGCACCCAGGAGTGGGATGGGGTAGGCTGGACAGCTCAGGCAGCCTGGGATGGCACGGGGCAGACAGCAGGAGCAGAGTGGCCTGCAGCCACGGGGAAGGAGAGCGTCACCACAGGAGCCAGACACGTGACCCCGTGGTCTGCAGGGGCCACAGAACGCGGCTATCTGGGGACGGAGGGCTAGGTAGAGGGATGACGTTGGGGACATCGGCTGACAGCCCTGTTCAGTGCAGGTCTTCGGGTACAGAGCTAAGAGCAGCAGAGCTCAGGGCATGGGCTGGTGGCCGGGCCTGGATGGTGGAGAGCTGCTGGCCAGAGACTCAGGGCCTGGGTGGCCATCGTGTGGGTCCACAAGGTGAACATGAATCCTGGAGTCCTGAGGTCTGTGCTGCAGTTGGCAGAACCCCACTCCATGGCTTCCCTCTGCCTCCCTCGAGAGCCCAGCCTCTGCTTACAGCACCATCCTGGGCAAGGGGGGCGTCCGTGTGTGTGTGTGTGTGTGTGTGTGTGTGTGTGTATGCACGCATATGTGTGTTGGCAACACAACTGGTGCATTAGCTTTTGTCATTGTGACAAAACACCTGAGAAAATGAGCTTAAAGGAGGAAAGACTCATTTTGGATCACGGTGTCAGAGGTTTCGGTCCGCAGGTCCCTGGCTCCATGACTATGAGTCCGTACGAGGCAGAAACATCATGGCGGCAGAGGCATGTAGCTGAGCAAAGTTCTAAGGCTCATGGTGGCCAGAAGCCAAAAGAAAGCAAAAGAAAGGGGCCAGAGACCCCTCCTGGTGACCCACTTCCTGGACTGGGCCCCACCCCCTATCAGCCCACCCACCAGTGAGCTCATCCATAAAGCAAGGCATGGATGACATCAGGACACTCACAATCCCATCCCCTCCCACCTTTGAATATTGCTGCCTGAGGAATCAAGCCCTCGGTCCATGAGTCTTCATACTGAAACCATAACACAATGAAGTCCATAGTCTTAGAGGCCGGATGTCTGTCGTCCAGGTGTCTGCAGGAATGTGCCCCGGGAAAGCACTGGCGACCCCTTCCCGCCTCTTTGGCTTCTGAGAGCTCCAGGCATCCCTTCACTGCAGTCTCGTCAGGCTAATCTGCACCCTGTGGTCACATGGTCTCACTGTCTGTGTCCTCTTCTGTGTGTCCCTGAGGGGGACACTTGTCATTATTATTAATTATCCCTACATCCACCTTTTATCTGAATCAAGTAATAGTCACAGGACCCAGGGACGAGGACATGGACGTGTCTTAGGCAGCCACCAGCTCTCCCACTGCACAAGCATGGTCACCGTTTCAGTGAAATGTTTGGCTCTATTTGACCCTAGAGGTGCACATGGTGCATGCTGCAGGGGAGGGCGGGTCAGGACATGCAGTGGGGAAAGACGGCGCTTGGGGACCAGGGGCTGCTGGTGTCAGTCAGCAGACAAAATGGCCAGACAGACACCCCTGCAGGAGCTGGGACAGCCAGCAATGGTCAGGAACGGTCAAAGCAGCAGGAAAGCTGTATCCCACTGGGGACCTTCGTCAATATCCTGTCCCTCCCAACAGAGCCTCCTGTGCCCCTTCCCTTGGACTCCTCCAGAGAGGCGATATGGGGCTCACACTGGGACTCTGGCTGTTCTGTGGCCGTAAACTGTCTGAGCCATGGTGAACCGTAGAAAGAACAGCGTCCAAAATCTAAAGAATGCTTCGGAAAACCAGCCTGGGACCCCACAAGTCTATCAGTGCTCACTTATTGAGCAGAATCGGCTTTGTGTTTGAAGGATGTTGCCAGGTCCAGCCTGGGCTGCTTCTTGCAAAGCGTGTGATTCAGGCAAACCCACAGCGTGGTGAGGAAATGCGGGTGGCCAGACCCGTGACTCAGTGCCAGAGCGCCAGAGGGCGGCACGCGGCCCTTCCTCCTTCTGCCATCAGGCTTCTTTGAGACCCAGCTCCTTGGTCATTCCCCTGGTTGCTTCCCCTTCACAGCCTTGCTCGGGTTCGGATGACCCCTGGGAATTCACAGGCCCAGCCCTCGAATATGAAAGCCTCCCTTCCCCGGTCAGGGCAGGGCTGCTGCTGCTCAGCCTCAACAGGAAAAATGTGTCTGACCCAGAGATGAGTCAGCTGCGTCAGTTGTTTTCCTGAAGCTCAAAGTTGTTTGGAAGCCACCTAAGGGCCCCTCCTCTGGAAAGAGGCCCGTGGGACGTCATTTGGGGCTGTGGTTCTCCAACCAACAAGTGCGTCAGAACCATCTGTGGACTCTGCAAAAGCCCAGGGGTGCACCCCACCCAGACTGCTGAGTAAGAGCCACTGGGCATATGTCTGGAGTTTGGGTTTCTGTCCTGTTTTCATGTCCCATGGGTGACTCGGGTGTTTGCCACTCACTGAGTTCACTGACCTCAGATGACTGTCAAGGACACAGAGGCCCCCGGAGGTCAAATGCAAGGTTCCAGAGAGAGCCCAGCCTAGTCACTGCCCAGGGTTTGCTCCTCTTACATCCCCAAGCCTTTGAGGGGCAGATCAACCCAATTCAGAACGCCCCAACCTGGTTCACCCTGTCCAGTGCCGGTCAAGACAGCCTCGAGATGGTAGTGAGGAAAATATGGCCCATGTGTACGTCAAGGTCATTCACAAGCTGCAAGCCACCAGCTCAGAAGGTAGTTGTGGCCTGGCCAGGAGGGCTCAGAGACACCCTCCACTTCTTCTAGAAGAAATTGAGTCCTTGTCCATAGAAATGGGGGATTTGAGGGGTGCAAGCTGAAGGGAAATGGAATTGAGCAATGGACCCTTCCAATGTGACCACTCCTGTCACTCTTCCTCACATGAGCTGCGTGTCAGAAACAGGCCAGCTTGCAAATGCTGTGAGTTCCAGGCTCCTCGTGGTAGGGTCCCTCTTCACTGTCCCAGGACCTCACAGCTAGGGGGGAACAAGGAAGCCACAGGCCTCCAGTGGCATGGAGGGACAACACTGACAGCACCACCCTGAGAACTAGAGGTGGCCGCAGTGCAGTGAGAGTATAGGTGAGTTCCTTGGTCCCGCCCCCTCTACTGTCCTAGAAGGTGACATCTGTCCAGCTGTCCCATGGTGCCTTTATAACCACTTCAGGTTCTGACCCAGGATCCATCTAAGCTTCTCTCATAGCATTTGGCTACCTTTAATTTTTAACTTGTTTTATTTTATAACAGCTCCCCACGCACACTCTGTCTGTTTCTCGTGGCCTTGGGCAGAGCCTAGGCCAGCTGTCATGTAAAGCATCCCGCAGTCTGGGTTTGCTCAAGTGCTTCCCTCCATTAATACTCCGGGGGCGGGGAGCCCTGGGCAGGTGGTCATGATCAGCACAAAAGTCCTCGTTTTGGTGGACAGTTTGCCTGTTGGCAGCCTCTTCTGGCCACTCTGTGTCACTGTGTGTGTCCCGCGAGGCCATGAGGAGGTGGCTCTGCACCCTCAAGGCTCCCTTGCACCATCGCTTTTGGGGTGGGGTGGGAAGCAGCAGCTCCAGGGCCACAGTGTTGGTTGGTGGGGAGACTGGAGTTGAAACCCACCAGTCTCACTCCAGAGGCTTCGTGCTGCAGCCTGGCACCCCTCAGCTCCTCACCGAGAGCCAATGCCTCTCCTGCAGTCACCAGTCCCATCTTCGGGGACAGCCCAGGGCTGAGTGGCCAAGGCCACCAAGCCAGGACTTGCACGCTCCTCTCGCAGAGGACAGCTGTCCCCTGTCCTCTCTTTCTAGCTCTCCATCAGCGGTGAGGGCCGTTGCCGCTGCAGCCCTGTCAGTGCAGGGCACCCCTCCTGCAGCTCCTGCAGCTCCTCTCTGACCAGCCTGGCTCTGGTTCCCCCTGCGGCCGCATCGCCGCCTCTTCATTTCTGGAGCCTGGGTCTGTTCTTTTCTCTCACCTGCCCTTCTTCTCTCTGGAGTCCACCTGGATGTGCTCACTTCCAGGAAGCTGCTTCTGGCTTCTCCACCACCTACCCTGGTTCCCAGCGGGTCATGTGTGCTCTCCCTCCAGCTGACTGTGCCAGACCACCCTGCCCTCTGGACCCATCGCGCCCTCTTCCAGGTGGCCGTTCCTCTCAGAGCCACCAGCTGTATCTCCTGGTTCCCATAGCAGCTGCGAATGTGTCCCCCACTGGAAACATCTTCCGCAAAGGCTGCAAAGTGAGCTGTTCTTACAGAAATGCTCCATGGTCATCATCAAGACAGTGATTCCGAAAGCCAATTTGGATCTGCATTGTAATGCGCAGGCTATAAACTTCTCAGTGACCCCGTGTTGTTATGATTCCGCCATCCTGCCCAGCACAGACAGACTGGCATCCTGGGCACTGCAGAGCTGCCCAGCAGGCTCAGAGCCTCTCCTGTCCATGCTAGTTGGCAAAAAAATCCCATTGATACTAAAGTGTCCAGTGGGAATATAATTAAGAATGAATGGAAAGAATCCGCTTATTTAAAATTGTTGTAGCAAAACGTTGTGATCCGGCTTTCATTTGACTGTACTTTCATGCAATTGGGCTCTGTCCATGGCTTCTCTCTGGAGGAAGGCTAGGAATATTTTCCAGCATTTAATAAGGAATCATCCCCTTCTTAAGGACATCCTTGTGTTTCAAATCTGGTGCTTGGCTTCAAATGAACAGATGGGATTTTCCATTAGGTCCTTTTAGAGAAAACTTGGATTCTGTGTGTCTGTAATCAATCCTGAAATCCTACCTCTGCCGATAATGCTGCCACTGAGTTCATTATTGAGCATGTCTGCAGCGCTCACTGCATGCCAAGCTCGTCTTC